AACCAACCTACTAGTTTTACAGACAGCAGATCCCCATACAAACCCAGTATTTCCCACCACCACCAACCCAAATAAGCATATTTCAAACAACTGGAGATTCACTCAACTGGCCATTAAGATCAGCAAAAGACAAGCAAATATTTAAAACGACCATGGAATTAGGTTTTTAAATGTCCAGGAGAGAAGCTGCTTTAGACTGGCAAAAGAGGTGGTGACAGTCAAGAGGGATACAGACAGGTTGTTAAGCAAGTGGGAAAATAACAGATGAAATGTCATGGGAGAAAACATTGAAGTTATAAACTTTGGCAGGAAGGAGAGGAGCTGAAGTTATTTTTTAAAATGGTGTAAAACTACAGAAAGCTACAGGACAGATTTGGGGAGGTCCTCATGCATAAAATCAAAGCTAGCATACCGAGCAAACAATTGGAAAGGCAAGTGTAATGTTGGCCTTTGGTCCAAAGGGAATAGATTATAAAAGTAGGATTTTGCTAAAAAGGGACATGGGCCATACACTAAAGTTATGTAACTAACTTGAGTTCAAGACTGTAAATTCCCCAAGTAGAAAATGAAGTGTTGTTCCTCCAGCTTGCATCAAGCTTGTTAGATGACTATAGCAAGCCCAAATGTTGGCATGACAGTAAGATGGCTTAATGAAATGGCAAGCAATTAGGTCAAAGATTTCTGATGGACAAAGCAGTCACCCAGTCTGCATTTGGCCTTGCCAACTTGGGAGACTGCATGAGCAAACAGCAGGCTAAATTGAAAACAAAAAAGTAAAACACTGCTTCACCTGGAAGATGCAGTTGGAGCCTTAACAGTGAGGAGGAAGGTGGTAAGTGGCCAAGTTTTATGCCTGCAAAGGCCAGAATGGTGCCATGTGGGACTAGATATAGGAATGTCATCCATGATGCTTCTTGCTCTAATTTCCATCCTTCTCAGCTTCTGATGATCCATCTCAGACTCCTCCTTTTCTGGGCTTCACTTTTTGCATTTCTGTGGTTAGGGTGTCCACCAACATCCACTATAAACCCACCGATTTCCAGTTTACCTCAACTATGCTTTCTTACAGATTCCTGCAAGAATTCAATTCCAAATCTCCCAGTCTCTCCATCTCTGTAGTTATTCAGGTAATGTTACCTTCTAGCAGGATGCCCTTGACACGTCCTCCTTTTCTCCCATGCCCTTGCCCCACCATAGTTGACAGCCCTCAGCTTGTGTCCAAACCATCTCCTGCATTCTGCCCTCACTCATTTCTCTCACCTCAGAGCAGCAACAGGGTTTCCTGGTGACTTACCATTTCACCAGTTTCCACATTCAAAGGGCCATCCTATTTCCAGCTCCTTTAATGATACCAAGCGCAACCGTCACCTCTGCTGTCAGCATTCTGCAGAGACTGTGCCCTTACTGACAACATGGCCCATTTCTCCATCACTCCCATCCTCCCAACCACCACACCTTTCCCTGAAAATCATTTGGTGTAACTGTTGCCCATTCACCTTCCTATCCAAGGACAGGAAATCTTCCAGGTGAAGCAGTATTTGTACCACTTTCATTCTCATCTACTGTATTCACTACTCAATGCATTTACATTTGGCATGAGTCACAGGCTGGATGACCTTTTGCAAAACACTTCCACTTTATGACCCAGTTTTCTTCCAGTTGCTTATCATGTCAACAAGCCACCTTGCTCCCATGCTAACATCTTGGGCTTACTAGTCAAATGCAAGCTGGAGGACCACCTCACTTTCCATTTAGACACAGCCTTTGACACTGAGTTCCACAACGTATTAAAGCAAAACAAAGAGGTCATGCTTTGCTCACATTTCTTCCTCATCCCCAGCCTTGTGATTTCATCTGTCTTGCTCACAGCAGACTGGACCCACATTCTCCTTTTCCACCCATTTTACATCTGTCATTACCATCAGCACTCTTGTTCTGCATATCCTAAATATGTTCCACTCATTCCTCCTCCACACTCTTTGGTTATAGCACAAGACTCCAACTTTCCAGCCCCTAGCAATTCTGAAAAGTCATATTAGACTCAATCTATTCACAGATGCTACAAACCCAGAGTTTCTCTAGCACTGATGTCCATCATTTCCAGCACTTACTAAACTGAAAGGGCTATTCAAAGTATATTTGTGCTGAAAAACTAGCATGTTCAGAAATATTTCTGGAATGCTTGACAACTAGATCCTGGTTGTTAATCTAGATAATCTTTTGACAGAAGCCAGGAAACAAAAGCCCAGACTTCAGACAGACAAGTTGGGCTAAAGGTCCTGTTTCTATGCTGTATGACTATGACACTAATTGCCTAAAGCAGCACCAATGTGGATCAACAGTTTCAGTTAAAATCTTCAATGCTTCACTGAATTACATTCCACTGCAATGTTCATTGAACCTCAAAGATCTCCAGCCTTGCAAATCAATATGATAAACACAAGAGTTAATGGTCAGAGGTTAATTCTGTTTGGTTGCAGTGTTCAAAGCACAAAGTTTTAAAACTCAAGCCACCAGCTTACCATATCTTTAACTGCACGATTAAAAGTGGAACTGCCCAAAACTTTTAGAAATATTTCTAAACACCAAGATTATAATGGTTTAATTACAAAATCTTCCCAGAGAAGCAATTTGCACATGTTAGATCAACAACTGACCAGTAACTTTTGTTCCACCTTTATCACCACATAGGAAACATTATAGAATTGATGGATAAATTGTATAATCCTTCAGAAAAATTCCATTCTTAGACTTTGTATCATGATGATTGACAGCACAGGTAAGTGTGGTTGTTGGCCAATTTGTGATGAGTATGAAGCAATCTCATTTGTATGGCAGCCAGTTAAAGTCTTTCTTATGATCAAAACTACCTGATGCAGTTTTTGCACTAATTTGTTTTTAATTTTAAGAGAGCTCCCTCAAATGGTTAAGATACAGCAACCTGTCTCAGGAGAATCTTAACCAATAAATCTAAAAGCTCCTAATCTGGTAATAAGCAAGCCATGCATTTCATGCAAGAAAAGTGGAAAGAGTAGGAAACATGGTTTCAGCTTCAAATGTATCAGAACACATGCCGAGCACAGTTTTAAATAAAAAGAACACAACTCTCAAATAAGAACACTAACTGCATGTTAAAAGACACCCAGTTTACATTAAGGAAGCAACTTCACTGCATGCCTATCATGGTACACTAATAAAAATTTACATCAGGCTTGCAATGTAATTTTCCATTGCTGTCATGCCCATGAACAGCAGTGGATAGATCAGATAATATGATATGGACAGACATACTTCAATTATTAATTAAAAGTAAATTGGAGCAAAACAGGCCAGCAGATAATTTGGGTTGATGACTCCGACAGTTGAACAGCAAGTCATTTCGTCAGCCTTTATTTTTTAGTACTTGTGCAAAAAAAAAAGAAACGAGTGAAATGCATTTGCTACTACCGCTAGAATTCTGCAAATGGCTTGAGATGTTTTTGATTTTTAAAAAAAGCAACAGCCTAAACTAGACCTTCAAGATGAAAGTTTTATTGCAATGAATCCAAATCTGTATCAGGTCTGAATACAAAACAAAAATATTTAGAATTTAAAATGCTACAAAAGCAACTTTGCGGGATTTTCTCAAAAATTCTCTTATAAATCTAAGAATTAATGTTAGCATGACCCCCGATACTTTGAAAAATATTTGGGGATTTTCAAAGATTTCAAATTGTAACATTTGAACTGCAAGTTTTTAAATTCAAAATTCCATGTTAAAAATTCATACGATCTCAATTAAGCATTTTCCCATACTTGGATAAAAAGTTGACATGAAAATTTCTGAAATAAGGATGTCTCTAGTTACTAAAATCCACTATGCCATTTCTGGTGTTTTTGCATGATTTGAAATCAGAATCATTTGCTTATCCTGCGATTTTTGCAACCAGTTGTTTACTTTTGCTCCATTGCTCAGGTTCCCTTTATATAGTGCTCCTGCCTCCCAGACATCTTCCTTCAGCACACCCTAAGTTCAAAGCAATTCAAAACAGATCTGAAAACCAGACCAACTAGGACCCCACTTAGAGATGCAAGGTAAAAAATAAATCTCAATCTTGCCTTCATTACAACTGCAACACATCTGTATTGAAAGCAAGTTCCACTATTATGGCTTTGTAACAAAATTGGATTACATAGCAAAGTCAGATGAGTGTACAGGATATTGGCGAAGTCTCTTCTAGAATATTGTGGCCAGTTCTAGTCACCTAGTTATCGGAAGGATATCAAGCTGGAGAGGGTCCAGAAGAGATTTACCAGGATGTTGCCAAGCATGGAAGGGTGGAGTTCAGGAAAGGTTGGGACTTTTATCCCCCCACTGGAGCGTAGAAGACAGAGGTGATCTTATAAAATCACGAGGGATATAGATGGGAGTTAATGGGATGGGGATTTCAAGACTAAGGGCCATATTTCAGGTGAGAGGAGGGAGATTTAAGATAGACATGAGGGGCAAATTTTTGTTTTAAACAGGGTGGTTCGTGTGTGGAATGAACTTCCTGAGGAAGTGGGGGTCATGAGTACAATTACTTTCAAAAGACATTTAGATAAGCACACGATTTGGAGATTGGGCCAGGGGCAGGCCGGTGGGACTGGTTTAGTTTGAAATTATGGTTGGCATGGACTGGTTAGACCAGAGAGTCTGTTTCCATGCTGTATGATTATGACTGAGGTTTCTTTGTATAATTCCTATGCTACATGGTGGTAGCACTCTGTCTTTGGCTCTAGTTGAGTTAGAGGGAAGAAATAGTGAAAGCTCTTATTTCTCAATACTATCAAGTGACTTGAACTAGTATAGGAAACATGGTGCAGAAATCAGGTAATGTGTCAGATCTGTACTGATTGCGCTCTCTGTTCAAGGCTGATTAAATCAAAGAATGACAAGGCAAGACAGAATCTGTTCTTCTACAAGTTGACAGTACCACTGCCAAGATTAGCATTTGCTGCCCATCCCCAATTACCTTTGAACCGAGTGGATTCCACAGCCATTTCTGAGGGCAGTTGAGTCAGTGGAGAGGTTTGGATCACATGTAGGCCAGATGATTAAGAATGGCAGATTCCTCATCTAAAACAGGAAGCTAGTGATCCAGATTGTGTTTTTTTTTTAAAAAAAGAAACCACACATCAACAATAGTTCAAGACTAGCTTTCATCTCCAGATTTGTTGCTAATTAAGTTTAAAGAATTCAAGCTGCCAAAGAGGGATTTGAACTTTTGTTGGATCAGCACAGTGCTCAGGACTACAAAAGTCTAAAGAAATTACCATGTGACTGTCTCCCTGGTAGGAGGGAAAACAGGATGAACACAAATTTCTCCATTAAAAGGATTTGAAATTTATGAAAAATATTAATGAGAGATAGAGGTATTTCAGACTTCTTCAGATGAAGAAATTTAATCTTCCAACAACTCAAGACAGATACTAGCTTACCTTCGAGCAATTTGTATTGTTTTCAGTTAGGATTTGCAACAATTTGAGCACTGATTCAGTTTGAGAAGAAACAATTTTCAACCAAGTCAGTTGATTGCATGATGGTGCAATTTGGCTTCACAAACAGTTTGCCAATATCGTAATTTAAAATCCAAAACACTGCTGGAAATCTGGAAGTACTGGAAATACTTTACAGGCTGGGCAGCAACTGCAGGAAGATTCAATAATGATTCAGATTGATAATTTAACATTTCAGGACACTTACTGACCCAGATATCTCCAACATTTGTTTTCATTTCAGTTTTTAAATTAGGCTTCCAGGGATACTATGAATTAAATCAAACATTAAACTTTGAACATCTTCGAGGGGGCTGATGCACAAAAAGCATACATCTTTAAATAACCCAAATGACTTGATGGCATACTTACATTGGAAACATTTCATAGCACATTATGCATAATGTGCTACACATGGTCACACTATGCATTCACCAACTTTCAACCGCTCAAAATAAATTAGTTTTGGGACTAGAAACAGATCAAGGCAATAGAAATCTACCTCATTTTCACCAAACCTGTAGCAGTCTTAACAGTATGCAAGACTTCTGTTGCTGGCACTGAGGTTTCCTTACTTGATATTCAGGTGCACTTAGGGTTGGATTATCAAACTCAGGATGTCATCTTCTCCTTCAGATAAAAGTTCCATCAATATGACCACTGTGTTTGATGTAATCAGTTCTTCATTTAAGCTACCTCCCCAATTACCACAGTTCTTGTGCTATATCAAAACTGCACAAATCTCACCTATGCTTGATCTTAATCTTTTCACTCTCCGGCACAACCTTTCACTTTACCTCAATTTGCTGCCTCAACCAACTGTCCTAAATTACAGATAGTCAGAATCATACAGCATGGAAACAGACCCTTTGGTCCAACTAGTCCATGCCAAAACAATCCCAAACTAAAACTAGTGCCACCTGCCAGCTCCTGACTCAACTCTCTCCAAACCTTTCCTATTCATGTATTTATCCAAATGTCTCTTCAATGTTGTAATTATATCCAATGTCCACTACTTCCTCAGGAAGTTCATTCCACACATGATCCACCCTCTAAAAAAATTTGCCCCATGTCTTTGAAAAATCTCCCTCCTCCCCTTAATCATGCATTTGTTATCACCAACATCCAAGAGATCCTGGTTCAAGAAACAATTTTGAAAATGGGGCACAGAAAAAGGAAATAAGTAGGCAGAGAAATTCAGGAAGGAGTTCTGGAAAGTAGGACAATGATGGCCAAACTCTGCATGACTAGTGGGAAGACAGTACTTTGCAGTGTTTTATTAGTTATGTTCCCAAAAAATGTCATGCCACTTATTTTAGAATTGAAGATGTCCCTCTTTGTTACATCTTCTAGGACTCAACTGACTTAATGTTTCTTGACAGGGTTGTGTAGAGGCTGTGACAGGCAATTTAAAAACAACCAGCATTTGTCCCCAATTTCCTGCTCAGTAGCCACATAAGCACACAATGTAAGACCTGTCTGAAAGAAAAAAGACAGCCTGCAACATCTAGTGCTGTAACAGCATCTGTTTATCACCATCAATAAGAGGAATCACCGCTCCCCAGGGTCTGCATCACCACATTTATACTACAATGCTGCTGTCAGATTTGGCCTGTCTTTGCCTCGAGCAGCACTGACTTGACATTGGCCATAACAAAATCAATGTAGCATGTGTATGGGACAAGTCTATCCATGGCAGCCTGTACTACAATATAGTGGGTAAAACATACTTGTAAGGTCTGTTAAAGAAAACTGAAAACTCCAAATGGAATCACTACCTTCAAAAATCTACTAGTAGTTACACACTTCAAGCACAGACATTTGACTCGAAGTGTCTAAAATCTCAAAGATCATTCCTATGCCTGCAAAATCATTCATACCAACTTTAAAGTAGGTTATTCAAATACATCCTAATCAAATCTGCTTGCACTTTTATCCCAGGTCATGACTGAATTGGATCAGCCTTCCCCTACTTTCAATCATCCCCACCCCATTCCTTTTTCTTAAAAGGATGCAACTGTCCAATCGCCTGCAGCTGTCTAACTAAAAACTTCTACAAAATATTGGAATCTACATGAATGTGTACTAAATGGTATGTCAGTCTCCACCCAACATTAGTAAACCATATGCAGTGGGAATCCTTCAAATGATTAAGATTAACAGAGGTAGAAGTTAACTGCAAGATTTCTGTATTCCTTGATCAGTAAAAGTGAAGTAACGTGGTGAAAACAATAGAATAGATACAGCTTGCACTCAGCACAAGATGAAAAACCAACAGCTCTTACCTCCAGTGGAAGTTTTTTTTTTATAGCCCACAAAAGTTACTGAAATCAAAATTAAGTAAACTAGCTATTTGTAAACAAGGGACAAAAACAAAATGTTGCTGGAAATGCTCAGCAGGTCTGGCAGCATCTGTGAAGGAAAAAAAAGTTAACATTTCAGGTCCAGTGACCCTTGCTCAGAACTTTTATTTAGCTATTTGTAAACGTTGAGAAAAAAAACCTGGGTGTTGTTTAAGTTACTGCACACAAACTTTACTGATTTACAGTTTCACTTAGTCTACAAGGCTAACAGACAAAAGTAACAAAATGGTTGCATTTGCAGTACAAGTCACTTGCATAACAGCAGGTCATTACAAATGGATGTCAACCATTGACTCTATTCTGTATCTGGGAATAGTTTGGTGTTGACAACAAGAGAAGCAAAGATTGGATTCTATTTCACCATGACAGCATGCAAAAAGCTGTCACCATCCCCAGAAGTGGACCCTGAAAACTACTAGATCATTTCAGTGTCTCTCCAAGTTTTACCAGCTGATTCAGGTATTAAAAACAACATTCTGGGGGAAATAATCAAGAATGTTAACTCACTCGATTTCATAAAAACCAAGTTTATATTCACAATTAATATCCATTCAGCAGTAATCTCAGTCAAGAATCTGAAAGCCAAACCAGGGAAGTCAGTGACATTTCACATTTCCACATCAGAAGTTCCAATTTAGAACATTAACACATACATGATTACAGCCACTTTATGAATTTACTTGCGTACACAAGTTTAGCTGTTTAACACTCAAAGAAATCTTCTTACTTTTGTACTAAAAAAAGACAATCCACCCATAAAGCAAGCCTATAAAAGACATCCTTCCCAAGTAACAATGGAGCTGCTTCTACAGCTCATTCACCAACTATGTTGTTTGTCACTGCAATTCTCTCATTACAGACAATACTTCAATTGGATTTCTTCCCTCTGTCTGGAATCCTCTTGAACCAGTACCACAAGAAAAATGTAGCTACAAAAAGATGATTTCTTCATAATTCAGATTGTTTTAAGTTCTTAATTCCTGGCAAGCATAAAATTCCAGAAACCTAGTCTTGATCCACAAACTTTAAAATCAGCTATCAGGGTTTTACTTACTTCAGGGAATGTTTGAAAGTGTTGTTAAAAAACTCAAATGATTTAGTTTTGTTTATATGGATATAGAATGAGTAATACTGCCACTTTCAGTGCAGGCTCTACTTGCTAGCTCAGTCATAGAATTAGATCCGCATCTAGAACCGTTAAAAAGGCCACAAAAACAAGTTTACTTTCTAATTAATCCTAAAGATGTCTGCATAAACTACTAATCGAGTCGAGCACAGGTAGACCCGTTAACTTGCTGCAATGAGTTGACCCACCATTGAAAAATGAAACGTGGAACACTTGTGTACAGTGTGGCTATGCTTGTAGCCATGAAATACTGTACTTCGGCCGCCATTTACAAAAAAAAGTATGTCAACGACCCTGTTCTGCAAATGCAGTATTGCTCCCATTCAGGAGTGGACACAGCCACAGTTCATTTGGAGCCAGATGGTCCTGGTGTGTGATCAGTGGCCGATGGCGCAACACTCCTCCCGGCAAGAGCAGTCGCTATTTCTAGATGGGTGGAAAAATGGCATTACGAAAACACAGATTAAAGCAATAAGATCCAATGGATTCCCCCTCCGAAAGCAATTTATATAACGCCCTGGACTCTCTCATTTTAAAAAAAATCCCCGAAGCTGACCACGTGTCTAGTTAGTGAAAACCAAGTTTCCCGAGCTTCCACAACACATGCCTTTACTCCCCTCCCTCGACATACACATTTTGAAAATTAGCTCACACTCTCTGTTGAATGGACAAATCCGTACTAGCTTTCAACTTTGTTAACAGGAACTGTGACCAACAAAACGTTTGCCCTAGCCCAGTTCCTCGGTCGGAAGGTGCCCACAATTTAATACCCCTGCCCCGAAATCAGATATCTCGTGATTAATCCAAGTTTGGTCTGCCTATTAACTGTATCAGCCCTTCAGAAAGCTACAATTCGTTACATGTTATTCTGGAAATGTCAAATGCTAGCACCACTCTCTAGATGGCACATCTTCCTCAATAAGCGAGGCAACAATTTTCTTATTTAGCTGATTATGTTCAGCAACACGTTTTCCATAGTACAGAACAGCTAGAAAAGCAGCTAAAAACCAGAGTCTTAAAGCTTTAAAGGATAGCCTGGTTCAAATCCATCTGTCTTTCGAGTCCATGTTGAGCCCAGCTGGGGACACTTTTCGGAATGTAATAGGCAATTGTAACAAGCAAACATCGAATGGATCTTCAGATTCTGTACCCCGCGCCGTCATTTCTAATGGGGAAAAACATGAAAACCACTGGGTAACAATCCTGAAATTTATACTGAAATTACTTACCACACGCCAAGATTGATTACCGATCAATGGATCCCAATACTGTATGCTACCGGCACAAACACAATCCAACATCTAGTCGTTTGTGTTGAACTAGCAGCGGGCCACCAACCCTGCTCCAGGATGATTCATGAAGGAACTTACGTCTTATAAATACGGATATAATTACAGACGTTGGTACAAGATGGATGATTAGAAGGATGTGAAACCGGCCCAGGTATCATATGGGTGTTGTCATTTGATGAGGTTTAGAAGCTTGTCCGAAAGAGACGCCTCCACTGAGGGAGGAATTCAGAACATAAACACAGACAACCACACTGGTTCAGACAAGAGATTTTTGTAAAGTTCAAACCCGTAACTATCTTACTGTCCCCAAGTACGTGTTGAATATCCTTCCTAAAATACACCTCGGTTACATAATTCGACCGATTTTGCAACCCATTTGGACTCGGGATAGAAGTCTTCCGGAGCTTGGGATAAACACTTCATTTTCGTACAATTTAGTGCCACAAGCGATCCACCGGATGAAAGTGAAAACCGGTTGTAACAGACTTGCGACCCGGGGAAACCCCGGCTCATTCTTCCACTTCCAATACAAAAAGGCGGAACATGGAACCAAAATTCCACACCAGACAGGAACAGAGAGAAAAAAAGAGAGACAGGCAGCAGCTGTGGGAGCGAGCTGGGTGGGTGAAGTTGAACCAATTTCATTCAAGGTCAAAACAGCTCGAGCTTTAACTATAAGAGCACCTGGAGATGAAACCGAAGCTTGCATTGCAGTTAAAATAGTAATGATAAAAATAACTTTGCATCAGGCAAATATTCACAAAATTTAGGATAGACATTTGCAAGACAGTAGCCCAATAAACAAGCACAATTATCCCGGATCCGCAAAGCTCAGGCTTCATTTACAGAATGGTCTCATGCAAAAAAGTGGCAGTTTGCTTACGGTGAAAGGGCTCGATAGGCAAGCCAGCTCTCTAAAAGCGTGCAGGGTGAAAGAAATAATATTTTCCTAATACAGGAGAGCGACAGCCATATACAAAAGAGACACGAGAGCTTACCTGGTGCAGAAAATCCTCCTGCAAATAGCGAGACATGTAGAAGCTGAGCGCAAAAAGAGAGAAACCCTACCGCTAGAACTTTGTTTTTAAACACCCCCCTCTTTCTCTCCTGCTTCCAGGTCAGGACAGCCCTGGGCGGACCTGCTGCCGGCAGGGGGTGGGGGGAATCTGCCCTTTCCCCTCTGACCTCCAGCCAAAAAAAATATAAACTAACAACCCCAACTAAAGCTAAGAGCAGAGGCCGTCGCCGATTTCAGTGTAACGTTGCAGCCCAATTTCAAACATATTTGTACAAATAAAAACACGTATGGTCGCTTGGCTCGGTTTTAAAGGAAAAGGAGCGGTAAAATTGAGATTGTTGCCTCGAGCGAGGGCTACCTACCTCCCCCTCTCCCTCAGCAACAGGCCGGTTCCTGACTGACCCGCTTAGAGGCTGCTTCAAGCACAAGCCCCATCAAACCTGAGGCTGTTCATTAAAGGGTGGTGATGGTAGGAGGGGAGGGGGATGTTGTTGTTGTTTGTTTGTGTGGGGGAGGGGAGGGGGAAATCGAGGCCTATTGCAAACAGGTGGATGGAGGTCTGGGTAAATACGTTAGACTAACTCGAGCAGGAGGAAGGGACAGTGGCAGTTCTTTTTTTCTCTCTATCTTTCCTCTCCCCTCCCCCACTCTCTCTCTCTCTCTCACACTCTCTCTCCTCTCCCCTCCCCCCAACTCAACCCGTGCCCCCCCTCCCGCCGCCGGCCGCGTCATGTGAGTGGCGGGCCCGCCTCGCCATTGGAGAGCGGGGCCCTGCTTGTCCCGTCCTATCGCCACCCTCCTCCTCCCCGCCTTCAGGGGGCGTGGTTCCTGGAGTTTTGCGGCGGGCGGAGGGGTAGGGAACCGTCTGACGTAATTATTTCCATGACGTCAATAAGCCACGCCTTTCCACACGTCATTGCCCCGCCTTCTCCGCTCCGGGTGTATCTTCATGGCACGTGGGCTGGTCGGGCTGATTGACAACTAATCGCCGGGCCAGCTCGTCCATGTAAGAGAAACCTTTGGGTTTCTGCAACGTTAGTTGTTATTTTCGATTGTTATTAACTCGCTCCGCAGTATTGAACGCTATCCAATACAACCTGATTTAGTTCCTCCCAACACAAACGCTGTGTAAACCTCTCGGGATTGACCAAACCCTTAGTGCGAAATAATTTGCAAGGTTACAGAGAGCTACCTGTTAAGTATGCCCATTCACAAGGATGGCTGGCTGAATTTGGAACAGCCCAATTTCTCGCCGATACCTCTGTTAATGTTTATTGCAGTGGGTGGATGCAGTGCGAGTGTAACATCTTGAATGTTGCAGTGATACTGACAGGCTTGCTTTGATGTCAAGAATTGGAATTAGTTTATTTTCCGTCTCAAGATCAAAGGAAGCGTTTTTAATATGCGTTCAATATTACTTACAATGCTTAAAATATTACTAACAATGGAAAACAACATTTTATTTTTAAAACGTACATTAAGAGTGTCGTCAGAGATAGTAGGAACTGCAGATGCTGGAGAATCTGACATAACAAGGTGTAGAACTGGATGAATACAGCAGGCCAAGCAGCATCAGAGGAGCCGGAAGGCTGATGTTTCGGGCCTAGACCCTTCTTGTTATTAAGAGTGTCGTTTTGTGATTTATGTCACTTGGTTTCAGATAAAAGATCGAAATTTTTTTTAAGAAAAAGCAACGTGAGCATACATCCTATGACACACCTCTGGGACAGGTGCTTTTTGAATGCAGACCTTCTGGCTTCAAAATGTACACAGTATCACTGTATCAAAAGACCATCTGAACAGCAGTGCTCACTGTGGAGCCCAAACTTATTTATTTCAAAAATACACTGTATTCATGAAAAATCTTTGTATGTATACACAGACAAAAAAGTGGTTCTGTTCTGTACTGTTGCATATCAAGCAAACACACAAACGTTGGAGATTGACTATACACAAACCAAAGACCTGTCCTACACATACAATACTAATATTCACAAATATTTGACACACTAGGAGGGTCCTATGACTGAACGGGTCCCCATTTACCTTCAGCAGAAAGATCTCAGATCGGGGTCTTTCCCCACTGTGCCTTGGTGGCAGCTGCCCCCAGCTTTAGTGTCTCCCTCAGCACGTAGTCCTGGACCTTGGAATGTGCCAATTTGCAATACTCAGTCGGGGTCAACTCCTTGTTCTGGAAGACCAACAAGGTTCACCAGAACAAAGAGCGTTTTTCACGAAGCTGATAATCCTCCAGGGGCAACTGATGTTTGTCTCGATGTGCATCCCGGTGTAGAGCACAGAGTCCCGTGTTACGGAGCTGCTTGGGGTGAACCTCAATAAAAGCCACTGCATCTTCCTCCCGATTTCCTTTGCAAAGACACATTCCAGAAGGAGATGTGTGACAGTGTCAACCCCTCTGCAGCCGCTTTGAGTGTGGAGCCCAAACCCACAGCCCTCTGAGTGAAGAGTCTCTTACCCTACTGACTGAGCTAGTGGAGCATTGAACTATTTTATATGCTAACAAATGTTACATTGAAACTTAATAAATGCCAAATGTCATGATGATGGTTCAGAATTCCAAAGTACCTGTAAAGAGATTACATTTTCAATTTTTTTAAGGAGACTACTACAGCCAAAGGTTGACTGCAAATGTAAATTCAGTGACTGGCAAAGTATAGTATGGACCAGAGGAATGTCACACCTGTACAGAGTCAGGGAAGCTACAACCAAAAAGACTAACAAGGAAGTTGAGAGGTTGACTACCCCCTCTTAGCAGGAAGTTATCTTCTGCAGAAGTGTTTTGTGTTTTACCCTTCAAGGCAAATGCAAAAGAAAAGTAGTTAAAAATCAAATGTAATCCTTGTTCTGGGGTTGTACAGGCCTGATGCAGTAGTATATGGATTAATGTGCAGTGAAGACCACAATTTGAGAACAGACATCAAAAATCATGCAGTGTATGTAAAGGAAGGGAAAAGACACACTCTCATTCTCAGTGCTGCCAGCCGGTTACCAGGACAAAAGAATTTCGCCAACCTGCAAATAACCCAAGGATCTCAAAATTGATCGTGCAGCTACCAATGTCCATGAAACCAGCAACATGCAATGTAAAGGCTACATGTCCTTCATGTGCAACTCATAGACTGAGCTGTACATCTGCTTTTAACCATTTTTGGACTCATTTCTTATTCCTAATCTATGTGTATGTGTGGTGCTTGTTATTTCTTCTCATGTTTAGTAACAAATAACTCACTGATTTGTCAAGAAGCCTGGTTAAATTGACTTCTTTAAGAAATAAATTAATTTGCTCTGGGAGAAAGATATCCACAAGGGAGGGGATCATTTTTAAATTAATCTTGTCGCAAACAACCAAGGGGTCAGCTGAATTTGGAAAGGGAGACAGTTCATCCATCCTCACCTGGAACTTAACCAGTTAGAGTATCCTGTCTGTAACTGTAACAAATTGTGGAGCCCCATCCGGGGGCCGGTTGTGAAACCACATCACAGCATTTTAGGTTCTAATTTAAACAAAACACACAATAGTAAAGCTTCTTTTCTCAATCATATCGTGTTAATTTTCAGTGATTTGGTTTCTTCAAGATCTAAGATTCTTTTTCTCTTTTTGGCAGTCTAGTTCTATGTTGAAGTCAAGTTATAATTTGATAAAATACAGAAAATAGCAGAAATATTCAGCACGTCTGATAGCATCTGTGGAGAGAGAAAAACATTTCAGGCCACAAGTGAACGAAATGTCTCTTCACTCGGGAATCTACATTGTTACTTACAAAGAGAAATTAGTCAGTCTCAAACAACCCTTTAAGATTGTGTAAAAGCAGAATTTGAAGAAAGGTCCTATTCAACTGGAAACATTGACTGTGTTCCTCTCTTGACAGATGATGAGCTTTCTCAGCACAGTCTCTTTTTATTCCAGATTTCCTTTTCAGCATCTGCAGTATTTCAATTCATCAGGGATATGTGCTGAGTGAAAGAAAAGTGTGTGCTTACAGAAACAGGGAACATAAGATTGACCTATTTTTATGCTACCTTGGGACTCGAGGACCATTTTATTGCATGTCAGTTGCCTTGTTCGGGTTATTGTCATGCTACAGAAATGATCAATATTGTCAATGATCCTTATATATTGATTATGCTTTGTTTTACACAGGATTATTTTGTTGAAAATGACAATACAATTCCTGCAACATTATTATAATGCAATAGTTATTTCTGAAATGACAAACATGCAACTAACACCCAAGCTTGAGAAACAATTATTGTGATGTAGTTTGTTGCTCATCTCTGTAGGTGATCCCACTAACTATACTTATGTTTTAGAAAATGCTCCAAAAATGGAATAAATACAAGAAGCTGTAATGTAATTATAACAGTTGGGGAGAGGGCTGGTTGTATCACTAGGTTCACTGATAGACACAGGCTAAAGCATGGGGGCATGGGTTAAAATCACACCACAGCCGTTAGTAAGTCTTAGTCGATTAATAGAAATGTATTGACCGACCCTGAAATGGCTCTAATGAGCCACGCAGTTCATGGATATTAACATAGTAAATTAAAACAAAGAAATGAGGATGCTGGAGATCTGAAGCACACAAAAGCAGAAATTGCTGGAGAAACTCAGGAGATCTGGCAGCATCTGTGAAGAGAAAACAGAGTTAATGTTTTGAGCCAAGTGACTTCTTCAGAATTAATAGCAGCTGGGAAAAGGTGATATTTGTGCTGATGATGGGAGTGGAGAGGGA